GGAAAAGACGGTAAAAGCAGCGAAGAAGCGGCCGGCAACAGATAAATTGGCAGTTAAAAGCAAGAAGAAACAGATCATGATCCAAGATGGCGATTTTGGCGCCGAAACCGAAGTCAGTCGTCAAGACACTGATAGACGTTCTCCCGACGACACCAATATTGAAAAATCCTCAAATGAGGATGCTGTTTCAGCTGATATCGGTAGAAGTACTGATAAMCAAATGGAAATCCTGTTGGGCTCTGTGCAAACACTAGTCYAACAGCAAGTTAGTGGGCAGTCACAATTGAATGCCACTCTCAAGTCCATGGGAGAAACCATAGAATCCCTAAAGGACAAACTTGAATCGCCACAATTACTACAAGATGAAATATCTGATAGTGAGACCTCAGAGGTCGATGTGGCTAAAGATCTGGACCAGTTAATAGCAGAGATTGATGAAGGAGCKGAGAACGAAGCTCAAACGCACATTTCCACTGACTCAGGGGACAAATCCCATACAGAGGAATGTGATGAACTCCTAAAGGAGATCGCGGGTGAATATTCCGATGATACTGAGACGGGCCCCGCTTTAAATAAATCTCTGGCACAGATAATAAATGATGCAGTGTCTAAGAAAGTTAGCGCTGAGAAAGCAAAGCAGTTGATGGCGAAATATAACAGGCCTAAAAACTGCAACAGAGATACCGAAGGTTAATCCAGAAATTTGGACGAAATTACCTTCGGAGTCTAAATCAAAAGACATAAAAATGCAGAAAATGCAAAAGCATCTCGAAAAAGCAATTGCTTCACTGAGTATTTTGTCAGATAAAGTCTTGACTCATACCTTGAAAAGGCTTATGGATGCAATCACTCTTACTGGGTTTGCACAGCAGGAACTTAGCCTCAAAAGAAGGGAACTTATAAGACCTGATATGAACCCAGAGTATAGACAACTATGTTCTGCACATGTCCCCGTAACAAAATTTTTATTTGGGGATGATTTACCGAAATCCATAAAGGACTTGAAGGAAACTAACAGGGTTGCTGGAAAACTTGGTTTTCAGAACCTGAAAGGTAAAAGTGCATATAAAAACAAGGG